CTCAGACAGGCGTCGTGGTGGGGGCCGGCTGTGGTAAATTTGGGGGTGAAGGCGCCTGCGGGCGATTTCTAGGGGGCGTGGTTGGCCGCGAGCACGTGGGTCTGCATTTGTGTATGGTTGGCACCTATATCTGCAGTGGGCGGGACGGGTGTATTGGAGCCTGCTGCACATTGTGGTGAGGAGCAAGCCTGCAACGGACAGCGAAAGCATCAGGATGGCTGTATCCATGCCACCAGGTCGCGCTTCTGCGGTAGAGGGGCCAACGGTGGTGACGGTGGTATCAAGACCAGCAGCAATGTCAATTTGAGTGGTGGAGCGGACGGTCGGAGGAGCAGCATTTCTGAGTGTTTTGTGTTGCCATTGTTTGCTGATGTGGGCCTCTTTCCGCATTGCAGTTCGTGTCGCTGCATGTCTGTATTGTGTGAGTGGTACCGGGGGGGTCCAGAGTGCAGTAGAGGGCGCCGCTTGTTGGGGGGTCTGAAGGGCTGTGGCTGTGCAGCAGATAGCTAGCATCTGCAGCAGCATAATAACGGGCTGTTTATGGCACAAGGCTGCGCTGTGGTTCCTTGGCCGGCCCCTGGCATTGTGAGACTCTGCCTGCCCTGCTATATGCGCGGATGCGCGTGGGTTGCGTTGCTGGGGGGCATGCCTTCTAGTAATGTTGCTGCGGCCGCATTCGCACCGAGAGTTGCAGGGAAGGTTGTTGTTACTTGCTAGGTCGCCGGCCGGCCATATTCGCTGGCATAATGTCAGATGCGGCCGCCGCCTCGCGTCGGTCTCATTCCGCCAGCATTCGCCGCCGCGCCGCCATTGCCGCCGCCTGGGCTCGCCGCAGCTGTTCGCGCGTTGCCTGCCACAGCCGCGGGAGAGCAGCGCCAAGCAGGCTGCCATGGCCCAGAGCCAGCAATGACTCTGCCGGGGTAGAGAGCGCTTGTTGTGGTGCGGCGCTTTGTTGGGGTTGCTGCTGGTGTTGGTGGTGATACTGCTGCTGTTGCTGCTGTTGCCGCTGCCTCTGCGGGAGCGGCTCATCCCGTCAGGCGGCCTGGTCGACCTGAGGGTGTAATGTTGCGTTTCAAGGGGCAGGTCAAGATACATGACGGCAGGGCGAATTTTTGACCCGGCCCATGCGCATACATTTCTTGCTGCTAGCATTTTGTTCCCAGCTAGACCTGTCATGGGGCGCGCTGCCTTTGTCTCTTGCATGGAGAGCCGATTTGTGGGGGGCATTGCGTTTCTTTCCCGGATGGGCGCCCCCACCTGCATTGTGTCCTTGCCAAGCCCCTGCCGCTCGCCCTCCTCCTCCGCGCTGGACCCCTCGCGGGAGCGCTTGGCGCCGCCACGGCGGCCGTCGGCCTTGGGGTCCTTGCTGGGGATCAGGTCCTTTGCGTCGCGCTTGGCAACGGCGTCGAAGGTGGTCTTCTCCCGGATGGCCTTGAGGGCGAGGCCAGGGATCGCGAGGTGGAGGGGGTCCACTTTGCCGGTGCTCTTGTCCAGCAGCCCATAGCTCTTGCCGTGCTCCATGTTGGACGCGGGCAGCACGGGGAAGACCACCACACCGCCCCAAATGAGAGGGAGTGGGGGCCTGCGCGGGACGCTGCTCAGGCCGTTCACCTAGGCAGCAAAGACCTTCTCAACGTCGTCGTGCGTCTTGAAGGGGATGCCCAGGAGGAGGCGGCCGCTTGTGTGGCCCAGAATGCGCACAGAGGCCTCAGTGTTGACCATGATCTCGGCGGCCGCAAGCTTGGCCAGGCCCTTCTCTATGACGTCCTTGCGCGCGCGGCCGGGGGGCAGGGCGAAGGCCACCATGAAGGGGATCTTGGAGGCGGCCCGCTCGCTCTCAGGGGCGTCAGCTGCGTGGTCGGGGTGGCGCCAGTCGACGGGGCGGAGCTCAAACTCTGCGTTGCCAATCTTGAAGGGCTTGCGGGCCTCGTCGGTGGAGACAAAAGTGTCAGCGAGGGTGAGCGCCGCGTCGAGGTTGGCGACCGTGACGATCGCGGTGGGTGCTGAGTTGGAGTAGCTGGCGACGCGCGTGATCTGCAGCAGCGGCGCAAGGTCCGCCGGCAGGCCGTTTGCTGCAATGATTTCAGTCAGTGTGACCTTTGTTGGGGGCAGGGGATGAGGGGGTCTGGAGTTCAGAGGTGCATCGTGGTCAGGCCGAGGCCGGAGGGGGCGGGCGGGAGGTACAGGGCTGAGAGTCGTCGGCCTCCCGCCACTGGCATCGCGGCCAGTGTTCCGCCCTCCAAATGCGCCTTGCCCCCCACATGTATGGCTATGTTTCCAGGGCCTTCCTGCCTGCATGCATCCCCTTGTCACTTGCACACCTCTTTTTCCGCCCTGTTCTTGCGTGCAAAGATGTTGGAGACGAGCTGGAGGTCGTGGAGCTCCGCAAAGCCCGGGTTCAGGCCCACGGATTTGCGCACAAACCACCACGCGTCTATGTCTGCGCCTCTGGCGTCCTTGATGATGACCATGGTGTTGGCATAGAGAAGGTCGTTCGCCTGGACAGTTGTGTGTAGGGGTGAGTTTCCAGGGGTTGGGGGTTGTCAGGGGGGGGCAAGCGGGTGGGCGCCGGGTGTTTTGCGGGAGCCCACGGCGTCCCTCCATAGCAGCATCCCTGGTGCAGGTCCACAGGCACTGGGTGTGGTGTTTTATTGATCCTAAGGGAGGTTGCTTTTGTGGGTCATAGAGAGAGTCCGCCAGGTTTGGCTCTGCCGCAAGGCTGAGAAGACGAGGTGCCACGTGCGCGGTGTGCCCAACAGGGCTCTTCAGCCGTTCCCCCACCTTTTCCACCCCGTCCGCATCTTGGGCCAGCTGGATGTAAGCCGCCTTGCCGCCTGGTGCGATGTTCACCTGCTTGGGGGTTATCCCTACTGCCTGCAGCTGCTCGCGCACATAGGCCGCTTTGGTCTCGTTGTCGCCGCTGCGCACTGCGGCCGGGGCGTCGTTAATGGCACCTAGCGCGAATATGCTGGTCAGCTGCTCTATTTGCACGTCTGGGACGTCCGGGTCGAGGCCAGTGATCAGATGGTTGCGCTCAGGCGGGTTGCTGGTGATCGCAGCCCTGCGCGCGCGATAGCCACGGGCGTTGATAGTGTTAAACGGTTTTGCCATGGGCTGGCCAGCGCGGGCGGAGCAGCTCGCTGAGATCACGGTGGGGAACATGGTGTGGGCTTGGGGTTCACTACTATGTATATTTAGTTGTTTTGGTTGCAGTGGTTCGATGATATTTTCTGTCAGCTGTAGTCCGACATAGAGTTCGGTTGGGTTTGAAAATTGAGCGCGGGTGGAACTTCATCACTCCGCTTTGCGCGTCTTTACGGGCCTTCGTGGTGTTGGGCGTATCCCCACTCCGGTAACTGCATTCGATGGCCGGGATCGTGCTGATGCGGCTGTTCTCGCGTGCGTGCTGGCTGGCCCCCCAGCCAGTCAGGGGACTGTAGGGCGATTTCGGTGGCGATGGCAAGGTGGGTGCAGCTGGAGCATGCTGCAGTTCTGACATTAAGGGCGTTTGTTTTTGAGGTTGTAGCATTTTTTCGACGGGTGACAACGGGAGTATCTCTGGCCATCCCGTCGGTGGAAGGGGCATTGTGTCGCCGGCCGGGGGCGATGCTGCTAGGGCAGGGAGGTTGTGTTGCGGTTGCAGTGGGGGGGGCTGTGGCTGAGAGCGGCAGGCCCGTGCCCGGCCGGGGCCCATGGGAGGGGACGTGAGGGGCAACAGCCAGGGGGTACTGCGCCACGTGGCCGGCCTACAAGTATTCATGTCGTTGTGCGTGGGTTGCCTAGGGTTATGTGTTATGTGCTGCCATTGGTTGCCGAAGTGGTCCCCGTTCCGCGGTGCTTTTCCTGTTGCTGCGTGTTTGCGTGATGACAATTGTGTCAGGGGGATGCAGGTTGCAGTACAGGCTGGCGCATGCTGAGGGGTCATTCGGGCAGCTTTGTTGAGGAGGGCTGGTGGTTGGGTGCGCAGGGCGTACGTGGCTGCTATCCCGACGGGCAGCAGGGAGACAATAGTAAGGAGCAGTCCATGTTGCAGGAGTAGCCAGGGTCGGGTTCGCATCCAGGGTTGGAGGCCGCGTGCGTGATGGTTATGTCCGCATGGCCAGTTGCGGCAGCAGCAACGGCGCGGCGCCGCTGCCGCTCCCCACCGCTTGATTGCATCGATCAGCGGCGACACCTGGCAACACGCCAATATCATAAGGGCCACAGAGGTTCTTACGAGTTTCATCAGGAGGAGGAGTATAACCAGCCCCGTCGCGAGATTTTTGAATTCGGCGCGTTTCCGATTTGGATTTCCAGAAGGGCGGGCCGCCAGGGCCCTACCTTCAAAGCAAGGAGCAGAGCATGCCTCGTGTCTGGTGGTCCACAGGGGCCCCGTGGCGGACCCCTGGTCTGCGACCACCAGATCGGTTTGCAAGCTCCGATCGCGCGTCAGAGATTCATGATGCATGCACCAAAAAAATCCCCAACTCACGTGTCATTGCTCTCACGT